GCCCTTAGAGGCCTTCTAGTTCCACCCCCTCAGTTTACAGATGAGGAACAAAGGGTAAGTGTTCAAATTTTCTTGGTTCCTAGTTTCCATGAAGGGATTACTAAGGCCCCTCCAAAACCAAATTACTAAAGATGAATCCTGGTTTAAAACTATAATCTCAAAGAGTATTTCTAAATGTTCTTATGAGTATATTATTGTTAGGCACTATACAAGACCAAATTAAGCAAGCCCTCCCGTAACACGTTTCCAAAGAACAGTATAGTTCTTCAGATAAAAATGAGATAAAATTCAGTATTAAATACTTACATTTCAGTATACTTACAGTTTTAATTAATATACTTAATATATTAAGTATATATTAACATACTTAATATATAATTAATATACTCTATACTTATTCATCAACAGTAGGAAATAAGGAACTGATCAAAAAATAGTTATGAGTTGGTGGGAATATGCAAGGTCTGTATAGGACTATCTATATTTGTCCTCTTTTGTTAAAAGAAAAATCAGATTCAACTGCAAATATGTTATTATCTACTGGCCCTGATTAGTCTCCCTCCATTTGTCAAGTAGTTTTCCTCCCCACCTGAACCACTGAATCCAGAATCTGGGGACTTCATATTTAAATGAGTGGTCCTTTAACACTGTGGCCTCAGTTGTTCATCAACTCAAGTTCTACAACCTGCCTTAGACTTACTCATCCAAGACCGTTCCATTTTCATCATCTTAGACTCTAAAATTCCTTTCTGATTCTAATCTTGCATCTCTCCTCCTGCCTTTACAATTTTTCACCATTTTTCTTATGGTGATCTCCAGGCCTTCCATACTTCCCTAGTTCCCCTAGTCCATCACTCCTGCTTTAGGCTTATAGTCCCCTTGGCAATCTTGACCATATAGTTGACCAGTTCAACTACAGGTTGCCCTCCACTTTTTTGTATTCATACCTCTCCAATACTCAACTCTAGGTTACTTCTACTACTGCATTCCCCAACAAGCTATCTCTGACCACTATGTGGTTTCTCTTCCCACTCCCTCTACTGTCTCCTTTTTCATTTGTCTCACAGGAAGGGGTGGCTCTTCTTGCCAAAGCAAACCTTTTTATGTTCCCTTGATCCTATTCCATCCAGTCTTCTCCAGATTCCCCTTTAACCTTCCATCTCTTTCCATTTACTGGATGCTTACCTGCTGCTATAAATATGTCTGACTCTTCCCCATCCTAAAAAAAAAATCACTTGGTCAATCCACTTCCACTGGTGATCATCCTAATGTATTTCCTTTCATGGCTAATCTACTTGAGAAGGATGCCTACTACAATCAGTGCCACCACTTCCTTTCCCTTCACATTCTTAACTCCTCGAAGTCTGGCTTCCAACCTCATCATTTAATTGAAAATGTCTTCAGTAAAGTTACCAACAATCTCTTAATTGCCAAATCTACTGTCCTTTACTCAATCTTCTTTTTTAATCTCAGCAAAAACACTTGTGAATACTCTCCTCTCTAGGCTTTTATGGCATTGCTTTTTCCTGATTTCCTCCTACTTGTACAATCACTGCTCAGTCTCCTTTGCTATTCATCTAGACCACGATGACTAATTCTGGGTATCCCCCAAGGCTCTGCCCTGGTCCTCTTTTCTTAACTCTTATTTCACCTGTTCTTATCAGCTTCTAGGATTCAACTATCATCGCCATGCAGATGATTCTCAGACCCATTTTAGCTAGCTCTAACCTCCAGTCTCACATTTCCAACTGCTTATTAGACATTTTGAACTGGATGTCACAAAAGAAATCTTAGATTCATGAACAAAACTAAACTCTCCTTCCTCCCAAAACCCTAATCTTTTCCTAACTTCCCTATTTCTCCTGTGGACCTAGGTGTCACTTCCTATGTCCAAACATTGCAAAGTCTTGTCAATCCTACCTTCACCTCTCTCATGACTCCTATGACACTGTTACTACTTTGGTGCAGGACCCTATCAGCTCCCACCTGACCTATTACAATAGCTCTGCCTCAAGTCTTTCCCATGTAGTTGGCAAATTGATCTTATCCTCAAAACCTGGCCCCTTCCTACCTTCCAGTCTTCTTATACCTTACTCTTATCCACATATTTATGGTCTCCTTTAAGTTTCTCTCACTGTCCATCTCCTAACTCCATGAATTTTCCCTGGCTCTCTCCTATACCAGAGTGCTCTTCTTTCTCATCACCACCTCCTGCCTTCTTTCAAGTCTCAGCTAAACCCTCATTTGCAAGAAGCCTTTCCCAATCCTCAATATTAGTCTGAGTTTATCTCCAATTTATCCTTACAAATCTTGTTTGTACATAGTTGTTTGCAACTTCTTGAGAGCAAGGACTGTCTTCTTTGTATCTCCAAGCACTTAGTACATTGCCTGATACACAGCAGACACTTAACAAACGCTTGTCAATCTATGCACAAACTATTCTGTGCCTGCAATGCACTCCCTAGTATTTTCAGGGTCTATGCCTTTCCTCAAGGCTCAGATCAAGAACCATCTCCTTGCACAGTCTTCCTTGATCCCCACTCCCCCACCCCAATGAGTGCTTTCCCTCTTCACATTACCCTGAATTATGATTATGTACATGATATATCTGCCCCTAGCAGTATCCCATCACCAACCCCTTTGTGTAAGACTGTTTTTGCTTTTGTATCCACAGCACCATAGCTTTGCCTGTAATGTTTGTTGAACTGATGTTTATGCTAATTTAATGATATTGGCTGTTCCAAAATTCAGATTTGCTGATCCAAACTTAACGTTTTTTTGAATTTCTATTTTTTAGAAAGTTTATCTTCATGTTTATCCTAAAGCCCAACATGTTTATCCTAGTACCCTTGACCTGCTGTGTGCGCAATTAAATCAATTACATGAAATGACAAAGATAACTACAAATCTCTACTAAAAATTACATCACCAAATAATGGTTTCAATGTTGGCTTTATCAAAGCATTAGCTTGCGTGGCAAAATGCTGTTCTTTGGCTTCTGTTCCACAAAATGTGAACTCCCAATGACCCCCATTTACCAACCAGTAATTTTAATACAAGACTGAGGCCTGTGTGTCTTTCTTCCTTACCCTTCATAAAAAACTAGTGGGCTTTGAGGAGTTGATTTTTTTTTAAAGTAAGAACAGTTTAAAATATCGGTCATGGCTAGGGGACCTTCAGGAAGAGCACCAGACAATTTCAAAGGACTCTATTTTCTTCCTTCATTTTGACGAATGGAGAAAGCGTAGTAGCCCCTCCTCCTACTGCTGCTGTTGTGCAATTAGTTTTTCTCTGTTATATTTCATTTACTTTCAATTAGTTTCAGGATAGTTTTAAGTTGAATATAATTAAAGACTGCTGTTAAGTGCTAGGTTTTCTTAAAAGGGTAACAGAAGGTCTTATCAGCTATAAAACATTGCCAACATTGCCTCTAATGAATGACTAAGAAAAACATGAGCTGTGACTAATGCACTTAAGACAAAAAATTGGCAGGATAGGTGGGGGGGAGAGGAGGGAAATGCCATTTACATTCATGAATATATAGCCTTTAGTGGATTTTTGCTCCAAGGAGTATAAGAAAAAAATTGGAAGAAAAATGGAAATAAAAATGAAATTACTTGATTCTCCCATGTATTTATTTATACAGGTACCACAGGACCTTCTCAAAAGGGCTGCCTACAATACTGTGTCTAATATACCTGAGAGGATTCTGTGGCTATAGACATGGTTTTACTGAGGAAAAAACAAAGCATTAAAAATAAATAAATAAAAACCTTTCCAATAAAGAAGAAACTGCTCAGGTGAAGGGCATTGTGCTATTCAGAACAGATTAAAAACATTTTCACATCTTTTCTAATCTTCAAGATTAGAACTAATCTTGCTGTAAACTAATATTTGCTTTTTTTCAGTACTGCACAACTACAATGAAGAAGGAAAACTATTTAAAATAACATAAACTTAGTTTTAATCCTGTTAACCCAAGAATCTAATTGCTGAATTAAAGTTTATTATGTAATACATCTAATTTCAGGGGAAAAGGGAAGATAGGGTATAGATTAACACACTAATGCCTTTAAATTTTTTTCTTAAATTTAATGTGCTATCATGTAGAAAATAGCCAGTGTCTTCTACTGAAGTATGTGTCTATTACCACCTTGGGCTGCTTGGGGTACAAAAGAGACAAATGGTGCAATGGACCAATTTCTTTCACATAACATTTGCTAAGTTGTAAGAATGAAGTTTAAAAACAAAACTAAAGAGGACCCAAATAGCATCAAGAGTGAATCTGATAGTTTTATATTAATTTTAACCCTAGTAAAAGTATTATTCTGTATTATTTTAATGCAAGAAAATAATCTTGCCTATAACATGCAGGAAAAAACCCCAACATATAATATTTAGTACTGCGGGATGAGGACAAGGATATAAAAACACATACGTAAGTATTGTTCTAGTGGCATTACTTATCCTTTAGGCAAAATCGACTTTTAATTGATTTTTAAAAATCTGTAATTCCTGAAAAATAAAAGTTTCCAACAGAAACATTAAGATTTTTACATTGTTTTTTTCTTAATTTTTTTTATTTTTGCAGACTGCCAAAACTCAAATGGCTAATGGCACTTTACAATGCTGAAACAATAGCCAAGTTAAGTGTCTGACAAAAATATTTTAACGTGACATCTTTAAAGTTGAACCTTCATTCTGATGCTGGGCAATTATTTAAAAATTGAGGGTTTGGGGCTTTATTTTTTATTTTTTTGGGAGAGGGACAGAATACACCTGTGAATTTAATGGCATGGGGAGCTCCCTCTATACATAGCAGCATCTACTCTGTGACAGAGTCTCAGAGAGACATCAGAGGGCACCAAGACTTTAAATGGTGTACAAAGTAGGGAGATGGCCTGGGAGTCAGGAACACTGGTTTCAAATCCTGCCTCTGACACAGACTTGGCTGGGTGACCTTGGACAGGTGGCAACAATAGAGGTTACAAATACAAAAATTATCAATCCTCAGTGATTTACTTGTAGTTCATTAGCCATCACAATAGATAGTTACAAGAGCTATATCATTTTTAGCACCTCCGTTACTTCTAAGAAGTTAACAAAACCAGAAAAAAAGAGTATAAATAGGTTATACATAGCTATACTGTTCGATTCATCCTTAGCCCTCTGAGAAACTTTCTATAAGTAGACTAAGTATAACAGAGGCTTCTGTAATAACAATTTTCAGTCCTTTGGTGGATAGTGGTCACTCATATTCATTTATAAAAAAAATTTCTGATCACAGACAACTGGATTCAAAAGTTATGTTCTTATCTTGAATTATAAGTTCAATGAGATAATGGACTCTTTTAGGGTTAAAAACAGTATAAATCTGGAAAGCACATCCATATTTTAGGTATGGCTTCAAAGAAGATATATAACATTTCTACAAATAATTACCTTCATTATGATGCAAAATTAATTTCTGTTAGCATATCTTATGTTTATTGGTCAGAAATGTGTTTTATCAGACAAAATTATATCTGTAGAGAAATACATTCAATAAAAAGACCTTAAACTCTAAGTTAAAGATGAAAAACAAACTAAACAAACAATATTTAGCTTTCTTTAAAGGCCAGATGCATTTCACAGAATAAAGGTGGCCAATCTCTCCTCTTCAAATTAGTGGTACAAATTTACAAGAGATCATATTTACAAATTTTGCCCAACATCAAATAACCTGTAAAAACTTTTCAGCTTGTTTTAAATTTCAAAAATAAATAGAAGCTTTCAACTGAAAGCATATATATATTTATAGCTAGCTGAAGTTAGAATTTTTTTTAAGCTACACAGGAAAAAAATGCTCTCAGGCTTTTTAAAGGGCCCACTGAGTTATATAAAGCCTCTTCTGTCCCAACATTTTCTTGAATTCAAGTGATATTTTCTTCCTTAAAAACGTGACCACCAGAGCTTTCACTTCAAACTATTCAATCCGTTTCCATGGCAGCACTTCGGGATTCCTTAGCTACCATAAGTCGCATTAGCTGACTATGGAACTTCTCAATCTTTTTTACATCTTGGGCCTGGTCTGTCCTGTATACCAGACACTGCAAAACAAAACAAAAAGTAGAGATTAACAAAACATCAATTTGGAATGTGATTTCTTATCCTTTAATATTAGGTACTTACAACTTCCCCTTGAAAATGTAAGGTACTAACACTATATGAGATTCTGCCACTTATAATACTGCTATTCCTACTGAGGAAATATTAAGAGCTATGTACTTAAGCTTCCCCAAATTATAATCTATGCTCTCAATTCTTTTTCTTTAAATCTTGATCATCTTATAAAATTCTCAATGCCATTATAGCAAAAAAAGAGCAATCATATCCTAACACTTGAGAATACCTCCCTCAATGCTGTCCAGTTAAAAAAATTATTTAGATTTTGCTGTATCCAATGGAAAAAGGTCAATGCCCAGTTTTTCTTACCAAATCCATTAATGAGTCAGTAATGTTACCATGGGAGAAATCAGGTAAATTTTGTGACCCACTTTTCTTCTCTAAGAAATTAAGAATAGGACAAAATAACTAGAAGGTATTGGGTTCAAGCCCTAGGCCTGAGGTCAACCCAAGGCCTGAATTAAGGCAGATAAGTTGCCTATTCTACTATTTTGCCATTAGAAATTCCACAAGCTTCCTCAGGAGCCTGGATCCAGTATTTATTTCCCTGACAAAGAGTCCTAATTTTCCCTTACTATCAATTTCCTCTTATAAGTTTTCCTTTAATTAAGTTCATTTCTTTTTTTTTTTTTCATTATGGATAAAGAACTAGTTACTATTATAAGAAGTCCATCCCATATTGTATTAAGATTATCAAAACATTTCTTAGGTTTTTTCTCTTGTCCAAAATAAAAAATTCACCTTTACCTTCTGCTCAGAAAACTATTTTCTGACTCTCAGTAATTCTGAATGACCTCGTTTCCTTTGTAAGAGTAAAAACCGTGATAGGAGTGGGGAGCCTTAACTTAATTTCACCTGACCCACAAAGTGTTAGTCCCATGAATGTCTTAAGTGACAAAAAAAATTTTTTAATCTTTGGAAATCTGCTTTAAAAATTACAAGATGATACCATATACACTCAATTGGGTACAGAAATCTATCTTAACCTACAGGAAAACAGGGGGGAAGGGGATAAAAGAGTGGGGGGATGATAAAGGGGATGGCAGATTGGGGGATAGGGTAATCAGAAGCAAACACTTTTGAGGAAGGACAGGATCAAAAGAGAGAACAGAATAATGGGGGGGGCACGGAATAGGATGAAGGGAAATATAGTTAGTTTCCCACAACTTGACTACTATGGAAGTGTTTTGCATGACTACACATGTGTAACCTGTATTGAGTAGCTTGCCTTCTCAATGAAAGTGGGTAGGGAGGGAGGAGGGGAGAAACATTTGGAACCCAAAGTTTCAAAAAAAAATGTTAAAAATTGTTTTCACAAGCAACTGGGAAATAAGATATACAGGCAATGGGGTAGAGAAATCTGTCCTGCCCTGCAGGAAAATAGAAGGGGAAGGGGATGGGGGCAGAGATGGGGGGGTGATTGAAGAAAGGCGTATGTATTCAGAATGCCCCATTTTGGGGCAGGGAGAGAAAATTTGGCACTTAAAATCTTATGGAGGTGAATGTTGAAAACCAAAAATTAATTAATCAAAAATTAATTAATTAAAGAATTACCAGATGGAGGCATTATTCTATGAATGTAAAGGTCCTAGATACTGTATTCACTCCTTCCACATCCTTTCTCAAACTGGCCATAATATAAAATTTTAGCTCAAAACCAATTCATTGATCTGAGGTTATTCATCCAGCAACTTCCACCACATAGAACACGTTTGAGTATAGGGGCAACTAGCACAACCCTCATTAATAATGACTGTGGGCATTACTATGTTACAGCGTGATCTAACAAGATGATTATAATAATGATCCTTAGTCATCCCTTGATGTTATTGTCAGTATATTTTAAGAAGGCAGAGAAGCCTGTGATAGATTTTCAACAGATTTCTAACCAGAATGTTTCAAATCCCAGATCTACTGCTGAACAGCTTCTTATCTGTAAACTGAGTAGGTTGGATTAAATGATCTTTTAAGTTTTTTTCCAACCCTCAACTCTATATTCTTTTGAACATCCCAACCCTCCAACCTTCCACTCCTAAATAAGTGGTTCAACAGAAAAAAGGCTTGACACTTCTTCATGGACTCAATATAAGAAGAGTTCCCATGAGCCCTTGATCTTTTTTGTGTTATCCATCCCTTTGGCAGACTAGTGGAAACCTATGGATTCCCCCTTCTTGGCATGTTTTTAAATGCATAAAATAAAATATACAGAACTATAGAGTCAATTATATTGAAAAACAGTTATCAAAACAGTTTTGAAAAAGCTCTGGTTCAGACAATGCTGACTATACCAAGATTATTTTCAAGATGTTACAAGCCATGAACTCTGGTGCCTCTTAGTAACATCAAAACATTACCAACTCATTCAACTTTTGTTATAATATATCTCCTAAGTCTGTCATATTTTTTCTAACCAATCTCTCATGTCTATTTTGATTCCGTTCCTATTGAGTTTCATCCTGTTCCCAGAGAACAATTCTTGTCAATTAATCAAGATGCTGAATTTAATTTCTTTATTCTAAAGTGTATAGCAATTCCATTAAGTGCTATATGTAAACAATAAGCATATTATTATTTCCTTCGTTTAGGTCTCTTATACAAGTATTAAGTAACAGACTCTAGGACTAACCCTTTGGCCCACCACCTGATAGACCATACACTACTCTACCTATTGATGACCAAATGGTGTCATTCTATGTGGTTGTGCACATGCCTGGCAGGAACAGTTTCACAATTCTATCTTCTTCACTTTTTGAGAATGTCATCGAGGTACTATTGAACACTCTAATGAGGTACAAATTAAGTAAGTTATATTTATTGCTTCCCTCTTGTCTTCATAACCCAACATTCTAACCACAGAAGGAAATTAAAAACAGTGACTTAGGATTGTGCAATATTAAGCAATTTTTAAAGTACCCTGTAATTGCCATCAACTCCTGCTGACCAAGATATATTCAACTTTCTATATTGCATACATATATACTGCATAAGCAAGCACACGTGCACAAGAGTGCTCACGCATGCATGCATACGTGCGTGCGCGCACACACACACACACACACACACACACACACATACACACACACACACAGAGGATTATGACAGAAAAAGATCTTGGGACCACACAAGTCAACCACAAAAGCAAGACATTGGAATGCACAAATGAGAGTTTAGAATGACATGTAGAACTGAAAGAAATTATTCAATCTGGAAATGAAAGGCTTCAATAACAGCCATTACATATACAAAACACCACACAAGGAACTATCTGTTGGCCACTAAATCCAGAACAAAAGGAAATAGGTTTAAGTTGGATGTAGTTATTAGTAGATTTATAAGTGAGAATTGCATAAGAGTAAGAACCACTAGACAATGCATAGATTTTTATTATGCATAGATTTTTCACTGTCAGGGTCCTTTTAGGGAGATAGATTAGATATTTTTGGTTCTTTTAAATAAACAAAACCAAAACAGCATTTACATAGCACTTTTGGATTTACAAAGTGCTTTACAAATATTATCTCATTTAATTCCCACAATAATCCTATAAGATAGGTATTATTATTATCCTCTTTTTACAAATGAAGAAACTGAGGCAGAAAGAGATTAAGTGACTTGATTAGGGCCACAAAGCTAATAACTTTATCTGAAGCTGAATATGAACTTAGATCTTCCTGACTCCAAGTCAGGCACCCTATCCACTATAACAAATAGCTGCCCCAATTTGCAATACATTCCTCTGTGAATAGTTTTTAAAGTTCACTGAGAACATTAAACAGGAAAAATTCATCCTACCAAGCATGTCTTACCACATGAAACAACACATTTTCAATAAAAATCTTTTCTATATATAATACTTATATCTATAGTAGCCCTCTAGATTACTGAGATATTACATTATCATTATTAGGGGGAAAAGGTACTGCCTTTAAAGATTAAACTGTCTATATATTAATTATTTCCATGTCCATGTTCTAATTCTTATTACAGAACATATTTTTCATTCTGCTACTTATGTATCCTTGGGCTAAACATAACCTTTCATTTTCTTATCAGTAAAAAGAGATCAAAAAAGGACTTATCCAAGCTCTAAAATTCTATGCTTCCTCTTTAAGAGATGGAGCTCTTTGTTCTACAACAAATTAATCGCAAGTAACCATCAAGATTTTCTTTACATTAATATTCAAGGTTCTAATATATTCCACTTCTTGCTTTAAGGAAGTGAATCCTCCACCCCAATTTAACAGCCTGTTCTCCAAAGAGCTGATATAATCATTAAAAATACAAAACTTTGGGCATCACTGAGAAAGCATTATAAACACGAAATGTATGGTAACACACAACCAAGATAACATTAACAATAACTGAAAACTTCTAGGGGATAAGTTAGTCCCTAAGCAGAGGTTTTTAACCTTTTTTGTACCATGGACCCTTCACTTTGGTAGTCTAATGAAATCTATGGATATCATCTTAGAAGGTTTTGTTGCCTACATTCACAGTTGAAGGAAATGCTAAATTTCAGTTGGAGGTTAAAGATGTAATTTTTTTTTCCCCACCCAAATTCACAGACCACCTGAAATCTATCTAAAAGGACTATGGGACTTCAGGTTAAGAACCTCTATCATAGAGGTTAGAGAGTTCTAAGTAAGTAGAGATAAAAACCTGGTATCTGCTTCCTAACTAAATAATCTAATCCCTGTTATATGTTCTAATTACGGTGCTGCCACAGATTCTGTTCTATTTATTCTAGTGTACTTTGAGGTCTGGCTTCTACATTCCCTTACATGAAGATGGTCAAAAGACAGCAATTACTAGCATGAACGTGGCATGCTATAATAAAGAAGCAAGTTGAATTACTTTTCCAACACCCCATAAAAAAATTTCTGGAACAATGTTCTGAACTTGGAACAGAGAACAAAACAAACATCTTTACAGAGTAATTTGCATAAAGTCTATGATTAATTCTTAACAAACGGTTAACCCAGGAAACTCAAACTTGCACAATGAATAAAAATGTATACTTACAACTAAATCATCTGTTACTTTGATACACAGATTCCCATCTGAGTGCCTATATTTGAGAACCACACGTGCCTGAAACAATACAATTTTAGAAACAGTGAAGACAGTTGATTTTTTTTAATGAATTTAGCTATAATAAAACAGATCTTAAACATTATCTTTGGTACCTACTTATCACTCATAATCTCCCCTTCTCACTAAAACCAAACCATCTAAAAACGTATACTTTTTAGTAGAAACACCACCTTTTCTTATTTTAAGTAGATTTATATAATGCTGGTATCCAAATATAGCAGCTTTTTGGGGGGGTTATTTTTATTACCATAAAGACAAAAATTTTTACTGGAACAGGGAATCAAGTTTGAACTGAAAACAGACCTAACATTGCTGTGCTTTCCTAAGATTAGTGCTAATGAATGACATGGGAAATACAAAGTTTTTAAGCGGAGGATAGGTTCAGATGTCATTCTTAACCAATTCCTCCCAATTTAATGGTTGTGTGCCACATCCAAGCTCTTCTCACATTTTGCACAGCAAAGAAATAAAAAGCCAGAGATATAAATCAATTAATCAACAGCCATCCTTACTCTCATTCAGTTCTTTTAAATAAATGTTTACAGCTCTCACTCTTCCAGATTAAAGTCCCACCTAGATGATCCATCATGGCCTCAAAGTGACCCCAAATTACCCAACGGATAAATCAACTGAGCATAAATTCTGGTACACCCAAGTGGAAAGGCTTTATATGAACCCAATAATAGCCTGTATTTTTGAAGGAAAGGCTAGCTTAATTTGCAGAAGACCATTCCCAAAATGATGGCTATAAAATGAAATTTTTAAAATCAAGTTAACTAATGAACATCCTCTACCAAGGTGGAATGAGGTCATGATCCATGCCAGTGACAGTTAATAATCCTACCAAGAAACATTACTGATCTTCTGAAGTTGAAACTTTTCATTTTCTCCCATTATATATTTTATAAAATGTTAATGGAATTGTTATATTTGTATACCTATTCATGGTAATATTGTTCAATATAGTTAAGTTCTTTGAGAATTTGGATTATGCTTGCCTTAGTAAAAAATGGCATAGGTACATATATTTTAACTGAATATTATTTAACAGGTAACTGAAGCAACTATTTGGCTAGATGTTGTAACAAGCATTTATTAAACACCTACTGTATGCCAGGCACTGTGGTAAACTCCAGGGATACAAAAAAGAGAAAAATTAGCCCTGCTCATTCTAATGGGAGAGAAAACATGCAAACTATGTATATAAAGGATAAATTGGAGATAATCAATCGACAGAAAAGCACAAGATTAAGAGGGATCTGGAAAAGTTTACTGCAGAAGATGGGGCTTTAGCTGAGACTTGAAGGAAGCCAAGGAAGTTAAGAAGAGATGACCGAGAACTCTAGATATGGGAGACAACCAGTGAAAATGTCTAGAGCCAGAAATGGAGTATCTCATTCAAGGAAAAGCAGCAAGTAGGCCAATGTCCCAAAGAGTATGTGAGGGTTGTGGGGGTGTGAGAAGTAAGAAGACTAGAAAGGTAGGAAGGGGCCACATAATGGGTGGACCAATCAGAAGATTTTATACTCAATCCTGAAGACAATAGGGAGCCACTGGAGTTGACCTGAATGAGGGTAGAATTGTGAATACTTAAACCTGTGTTTTAGGAAGATCAATTTGACAGCCTGGAGTGGGAAGAGACTTGAGGCAGGGACCAAATCAATAGGCTACTGCAAAAATCCAATTGTGAGGTGATGAGGGCCTGAACCAGGGTGGTGACAGAATCAGAGGAGAGAGGAGAATACACATGAGAAACGTTTCAAAGGTAGAATCGATAGGAGTTGGCAATTAACTGGATGAGGGAGGAGGGTGAGATTGAAGAATGGAGAATCACACCTAGGTTGTAAGCCTGGCTGACTGGGAGGAGAAACAGGAAAGTTAGGAAGAGGGGAGGGTTTGGGAACTTGGGGAAGATAAGGAGTTCTATTTTGGACATGTTGAGTTTTATAAATCAGTTCAAAACATTCACTAGGCGGTTGGAAACACAAGACTAGAAGTCAGCAGAGAAGTTAGGGCTGGACAAATAAATTTGAGAATTATAAGCATAGAGACAATAGTTGGAACCCTGGGAGCTAATGGTACCACAAAGGAGAAGAGAAGAGCAGAGCACAGCCTAGGACAGAATCCATGGTGAAGAGACATGACCTGGATGAAGATCCAGTAAGTAGCAATACTTCTCAGAAAAGTAGGAAATCCAAGAGACAGCAATCTCACAAAAACCTAGAGAGAAGAGAATATCAAGGAGAAGAGGGTGATCCACAGTGTCAAAGGCTGCAGAAGGGTCAAGAAAGATAAAGATTGAGAAAAGGTCCCTTGACTTGGCAATTATGACATCATTGGTAAATGGAGAGAGTAGTAACTCCTCAGAACATGCACAATAAGCTTAGGCAATACATGAATTTTTCCAAGCAGGTAAAGCTGAAATTGGAGACAGGTCAGAAGGCTATTTCTAATACATATCCACATCAACCTAATACTGATCTTTAGGCTGGCTGTACTACAAGATGTACAATGTCAGTATATTATTTCCAAAATGAAAAAACATTCAAAATCATAATTTTCAAGAAAATTCCCAGAAGAAAAAAAAATCACTACTATGAACTCTCCCACTCATTACAGCTGACCTGCTGCTCTGTCTACTAAACACAAACATCAAAAAGAATGGAATAACTTCACTAATTTTACAGCCTACCAAAACCAATTCAAGTATGACATTCACATTTAAAGGACCCCTTTATATTTTATATATTACATTTTCTAAAGAAAACAGCTAGTGTCACATTAAGTCTATTATGTAATATATAATACTTATCGCATCAGAATTTTGAGAACTATAACCTCCAAGATTAACAACGATTTCTTTATTGCTAAATCCAGGACCCTTTTCTTAGTCCTCATCTTTCTTATCTCTTCTTTATTATTTAACACTAATCATCAATTATCTTCCTGAACACTCTCTCCTCCCAGGGTTTTCCTGATGCTGCTCTCTTCCTGGTTCTCCCCTCCTATCTGTGCAACTGCTTCTCAGCCTCTTTTGTTTTAGCATGCATTCCATGTCCCTCATCAGTAAACCTACCTCAGTTCTTTGTCCTTAGACCCTTCTTTCTTTTCTCTCCAGATATTCTTTTTTTGTTCATGTCATCAGCAACCATGAACTCAATGTGAAGTCTATAAATGACTCTCAAATTTACATATCCTGAGTTTACCTCCACATCTCACATCCATCTCAATCTCTCTACTCAGATCACCAATATCCTAGCGCAGGCCTTAGTTCTGATCACTTCTGACCTAACTGGTCTCCTTATTTCTATTTTCTCCTTTCCAATCCATCACCCATAGATAGGGCTGTCAAACTGAAACACAGTTCTGATTGTCATTCCTCCTCACGAGGCTTCAGTGTCTCCCTATTGTGCTTTAGAATAAAATGCAGGCTCGTGTCTTCTTTCACAACATGACTAATGTGGTATTGTTTTGTGTAATTGAACATGTATAACTCATACCACATTGCTTACTATCTCAGGGAGGGGGGAAGTGAGAGAAAAAGAAAATTTGAAACCTCTAAATTTTTAAACCTCCAAAATGTTAAATATGATTGCACATGTATAACCTATTATCAGATTGCTTGTCTTGGGGAAGGGGGAGGAAGAAAAATTTGGAACTCAAAATCTTATTTAAGAAATGAAAGGAAAAAAATGCTAGGGGCAGCTAGATGGGACAGTAGATAAAGCTCTGGCCTTGGAGTCAGGAGGACCTGAGTTCAAATCCAGCCTCAGATACTTGACACTTACTAAATGTGTGACCCTGGGCAAGTAGCTTAACCCCACTGCCTCATCAAAAAGAAAAAAAATGCTAGGGACGCAGTAGAAAAAGTACCCTCCCTGGAGTCAGGAGGACCTGAGTTTAAATCTGGCTTCAGACCAGACACTTGACACAAGCTGTGTGACCCTGGGCAAGTCACTTAACCCCAATTGCCTAAACAACAACAACAACAAAAGAATACTGAAAACTATCTTTACACGTAATTTGAAAAAAAAATACTATTCACACACAAAAAAATTAAAGTGTTTTGCAAACCTAAAAAAAAAGAAAATGAATGTTAAAAATTGTCTTTACTTGTAACCAGAAGAAAATAAAATATTTTAAAATAAGAATAAAATACACAAACCCCTCTATTTGGTATATAGAGCCCTTCACAATCAATATACACTCTTTCCAAACAACTGTATGTTACACCTTATGTTCCAACCATATCACCCTACTTGATATTCCTTGTACTGTTTATTCCGTCCTCCACCTCATGCCTTTCTTTGCAATGGCTGCCTGGAATGCTCCACTTCCTCATCTCTTCTGCCTCTTGCAATCTCGAGCTCCATTCAAGAGAGTTCAAACATCACCTACAAAAAGCGTTTCCTGATCTTTGCTGTATTTACTTTTTTATCTTTGCATATAGTGTATGCATGTTGTTCCATACTTTCTCTCTCAGATGCTGGCTCTTGAGCCCAGGGATTATTTGCCCCTCTCTCTTTGTACCCCAGTGTTTGGCATGAGGTGGGTGCTTAATAAATTTTTGTTGAATTGAATTAAACCTCTTAACTTAGGGAAAGGACAGAGACTGTCCTATTTTCCAAGGAACCACATACATGACAATAGGGAGTGTAGATACCATACTCGGCCTACCACCATCACACTTAGACAGGTTTTCACTAGTTCTCATCCCATCACAGGGTAATGAAATATGTGTACATGTGAAAAGACACACACACACACACACACACACACACACACACACACACACACACGTTTAATCAAAGCCCCAACTCATTCTTCAGAGCACTGTGCCAAGAAGACAGTAGGAGTGGTAATGTAATTTCATAAAAGACTAACTCAACTTTAATACAATGCTAAGGAATGTTTTCAAGTCTTTGTGAGGTAAAACAAATACAATTTGCAAGTACACTTTTACATACATATGAAGTCTTGTCTTGATAAGACATTTA